TATAAAGAAATATTTATTTAAAAAAAGAAAAAGAATGGGGAACAGGGTGCTAGTCTGCTCAAGGCCAAGCCCATGGGGGCCCCTGGCCAGCCAGGGCCTAACGCCCACCCCCTCTGTTTGCTCCCTCAGGAGAACTCTGACACCTTCCTCTTGGCCGAGGACACAGACTGGAAGGTAGGACTCAGCCACCTGATGTGGGGGACTGACAGCTGGCTGGCCCCTGGACCACCCAGCCTGGTCCCTGAGGAGGGTCACACCCTTCCATGTGCCTCAAGTGACAGGGGCTCAGCATCAAAGCCTCCAGGGCCACCCTCACTGTCTACAGTGGCTCTGCCTGCCCTCTGCCCTGTGTCCCCTGTCCCCTGCCCCCTGTCTCCTGCTTTTTTTTCTGAACAGAAGGGGGAAGGGAGGCCTGGGGGAGTGAGGATGGAGACAGGAGGGAGGGATGCTGTCATCTGAATCAGCATTTTCCTCCAATGAAAGCCAGGCTGATGCTCCAAAATAGCTCCCTGTTTCCATGGCAGCTGTTGCCGGGACAACCATGTCCTCTTTAGCGGGATGCCAGATTCCCTGTGAAAACCGAAATCGCCCTGTGTTTTTATTCCTCCTCACCGTGATTTCACTCACTCGGCCAGTCATTCCTCCGCTCTGAGTTGCGTAGTGGCCCTTTACTCCCGGGTCTGGGGAACCGTCTGGCAGCAGACACAGTGGGAGCCTCTCCAGCTCCGGGGCCCGCTGGCCACCAGCACACGCTGAACCAGCTCAGACCCTCTGGGCCCTTCCTCCTGGCTCGGTGGAACTGGCCCCCCAGGCCTGGGCCTGACTGCAATGTGGGTCAGTGTCCAAGCCCCAGGACAGCCCCGGCCTCGTGGTCTGCAAGGGTGACGTGGCGGTGGGGCGACGTGCTGGCTCCTCCCCAGACAGCAGCTCTGCAGCCAGGCTCCGCGTCTGTGAGCTGGCCTGGGTCACGAGCCCCTTCAAGGACGCGAGAGCTCGCTCGCGCTCCAGTCCCCCAGGAATTCCAGCTCCAAATACAAAGGCCCTGGAGCTGGGCAGGAGGGAACAAACAGGAGACCTGGGAGGGAGAGAGCGAGGCCCAGCCAGAGGTCTGGGCAGGCATGTCCTCTGTCCTCCTGCCCCCGAGAGAGGCCGGGAATGTGTGGACCCCTCCCCAGGAGGGGGCGGTGACATCACACCCCAGAGCAGCCAGTCCCTGCCTCATCTTCCTCATCTGTAAAGTGGGAGTTAAGAAGATAAAAAGAACATGTGTGAAACATTTGAGTAGGTCCTGGCACGTGGAGATATCTCGATACGAATTTGCTACTCTTTTTAGAAAATTATTATTTTTTATTGATTTCAGAGAAGAAGGGAGACCGAGAGAGAGATAGAAACATCAATGATGGCCCTGACCAGTTTGGCTCAGTGGCTAGAGCGTCGGCCTGTGGACTGAAGAGTCCCAGGTTCGATTCTGGTCAAGGGCATGTACCTTGGTTGCGGGCACATCCCCAGTGGGGGCTGTGCAGGAGGCAGGTGATCGATGTTTCTCTCTCATTGATGTTTCGAACTCTCTATCCCTCTCCCTTCCCCTCTGTAAAAAATCAATAAAATATATTTTTTTTAAAAAAGAAACATCAATGATGAGAGAGAAGCATTGATTGGCTGCCTCCTGCACGCCCCACACTGGGGATCAAACCGGCAACCTGGGCATGTGCCCTGACCGGGAATCGAACCCTGACCTTGTGGTTCATAGGTCAACACTCAACCACAGAGCCACGCCAGCCGGGCGCATTTGCTACTCATACTGATGCCCAAGGTGCTAAGGTGTTTGTAAGCTTCCGCTTCCTGATCCTTTCTCATAGGTTTGTGAGCATCATGTGCTATCCACGCAGCTACCTGTGCACGGGCACTGCTGTTTTCCCACTTACAGATGTGGAGGCTCAGAGAGGTTGACTGGCCTGCCCAAGGTCACACAGCAGAGATGCGGCAGAGCTATGTAGCAGGACCAGGTTCAGGTAGCAGGTCCAGAGCCTGCCTTGTTCAGCCACAACTGCACAGGCTCCAGGGAAGGGGCCAGCATTTGGGACGGCACATGGACTGTCCCATGTTTCCAGACATGGGCGGGGCCCGGGCAGGAGTGGGGTCAGGTCCAGAGCGATGGATGCAACTTTTTCTCATTCTCATCGCAACTCTGTGTGGAAGGCACAATTCCCGTTGTACAGTTGCGAGGCCTGGGGCACAGGGAAGTTAAATCTTGCCCAAGGTCTCCCAGCGAGTGGGTGGGGAGCTGGGACTTCACCTCAGGGCTGTGGATGTGAAGCAAGTGGCTGAGCAGAAATGGGGCCACAGCTTGGAGTGGGCAGTGTCTGAGGTCAGCCTCTCACCTGAGCCCAAGGGTGGGAAGGCCACTCAGCGGTCAGAGGCTGGAGCGGGCATAAGATTGGATGGGGACCACGGAGGAGCAGGGCTTGGTGGCAGAGAGGGTGGAAGGCCCCCTGTCCCCCACTCCGAGTAGCAGCTGGGGGGACCTTGTGGGCTGTGCCTTTGCAGCCGCCTCAGTGGCTGGAGCCGCTTCCTGTGTCCAAGTGGCTGCAGGGAACAGGGAGAAAGGCCAGGACGTGAGGGGCCCGGGACACTCCGTTCCACACCCTGGCTGCCCTAGGCAAACGCAGGGCCCAGCGCTCTGGGCCAGGCCTCTAAGCGAGAGGTCAGAGAGGGGCAGGGAAAGTTCTCGGTGCCCACCCCCCAGGCACAGGCCCGGGCCAGGAATAGCATGCCTGGCAGGTGTTGACCAGGTCACTAGGCACCCGAGACAGGAGGTACTGCCTCCCCCAGCGCAGCCAGCCAGTGTGCAGGCTGGGGCGAGTGGCGCGGTCCTTCAGCAAACAGACAGAATGGGGGCACAGCGCCCCGCACCCCTCCCTCCTCCGCCGCTCCTTCTTGTCCTTGGGCTCCCTCCTCTGCCCCCTCCCTGGCCTATTTCCTCTCGTCCTCTGCTCTCCTTTGCTCCCCGTCTCCTCTGTGTCTCTACCTGCCCGTCCCTGGCCAGCTCCCCACTCAAAGCCTTGTTTCTGGGGTGGGGTCAGGGCATGGGACCTGAGGAGGCTCATGTGTCCTGCTCCCCTGAGATCTGGGAGCCAGGCCCCATGCCGGGTGGGTCTGCGGGAGGTGGGCAGGACCTCCGTCCTGGCTGCAGGATGGGGGGGCGGGGAGGGCAGAGCTGGTGCGTGCCCCACCAGACTCCTGGGCCTGCAACCTACCCAGGCCCCTGTGCCCGGAACCCCCTTTCTGCCGTGTGGACGGGCGCTGGGTGTGCATGTGGGCAGCGTGGGGGCTGCCCTAGGGGAGACCCTGGCGGGTGGAGAAGACGGGAGTGACTTCCCACATCCCCTCAGGGCTGTGATCCAGGCCCTCCTGCTGTGGAGGCTGGGCTTGGGGTCCCCCAGGCCCCTCCGTGCTCCCCAGGCTCTAGGTCAAGGGCACACCTGTGTGGCCCATGAGAGGCTCGCGGGTGCCTGACACAGGGCCCCCCTTCCCAGGACCCCGTGTGCAGCGGGCAGCAGCCCTCCCCGCGTGTCTGTGTTGCTAGGGGCGTGGGGATGCGGAGGAGGCTGGGGGTGGGGGTGAGACAGGCGCAGGGCTGGGTGAGCGAGGACCTCAGCAGCCAATGGGAGCCAGGTTTGTCTCCCGACAGCCAATCTGGAGGCGGGGGCTGCGGGCCGGCGAGTGGCTGCTCGGAAACCCCGCGGGGG